TCCAAACACAGGTGAAATGTGACGTGGAAGGCATGACAAATAAGACCTGAGTTTAAGGCCATTGAATACAGACACCAGGTCGTGAATGGAGTTTTTTTTTTTTACCTTATCAAGGTGATGAACATTGATTTTATTTCATGTCATAGTCATAATAATTGCAGCTTCCTGGTTTCAGAAGAGCCTCGGTATAAAAAACAAAAATTTAATGATGTTTGTTTCCTGTGTGCAGGTTCATGTGGGAGGAAGTGATTACCTTCACCTTCACATATACATTTTCCAAAGCCCACTTCAGGCAGACAGAAGAGAGACCAAACTGAAGAGAGTCGAACAACATAAAGATGAAGATCCTCTTGATCCAATCAGAACCTACCACTGATAGACCCTACCACTGATAGACCCTCCCACAGACGGAACCTACCACTGACAGACCCTCCCACAGACGGAACCTACCACTGATAGACCCTACAACCAACGGACTCTACCACTGATAGACCCTACAACCGACGGACTCTACCACTGATAGACCCTCCCACCGACGGACCCTACAACCGACGAACTCTACAACCGATGGACCCTACAAGTAATAGACCCACTGATAGACCGTACCACTGATAGACCCTACAACTAATAGACCCACTGATAGACCCTACAAGCAATAGACCCACTGATAGACCGTACCACTGATAGACCCTACAACTAATAGACCCACTGATAGACCCTACAACTAATAGATCCACTGATAGACCGTACCACTGATAGACACTACAAGTAATAGACCCACTGATAGACCCTTCCACAGACGGAACCTACCACTGATAGACCCTCCCACCGACGGACCCTCCCACCGACGGACCCTACAACCGACGGACTCTACAACTGATGGACCCTACAACTAATAGACCCTACAACTAATAGACCCACTGATAGACCGTGCCACTGATAGACCCTACAACTAATAGACCCACTGATAGACCGTACCACTGATAGACCTACAACTAATAGATCCACTGATAGACCGTACCACTGATACACCCTACAAGTAATAGACCCACTGATAGAAAGTACCACTGATAGACCCTACAACTAATAGATCCACTGATAGACCCTACAACTGAGACAACAATTGTGATTTGGCACTATATAAATAAACTAAATTTAATTTTTAAATTTAAATATAATTCAATGACAGAAAGAGTAAGCACTCAGTTACTCTTTAACCTGTTAGATGAAGTTCAGTTACCGTTCTGGAGGTTGCTCTTATGATGGTCCTAGAAGTCATTTTGCCGTAAAAGTCTCTGATCCAACAGATTCTACCTGAACCAACACAGACTACAGCAGAACTTATTAGACCTCTCTGGTTTATTTAAACAAAGCTGGGTCAATCTTGTAACATTAACATTTTTTTTTGTGGGGGGGGTAGTTATGAACAAATTTCTCCATGATTCTCCAAACCGAGACGGCATGTATTGCTGTGTTCTGTGGGTAAGATACTGACTGCTCATACTCCACACAACCCCACTTTCAAACAAACCAAACAAAAAAATCTCTTTAAAGGCAAGCCTTTCCCAACAGCAGTTTAACCGAATTGCATGCCAGCAAACGTGGGAAAGGATACAGTTTGGCGGTAATCAAACCCAAACATCTCAAAGTCATAAATCATATTAAGCCCTGCAGAAATTTATACCTGTTGTGTTTCTTGTCATTGTTTATAACAGTTTATTTTCTCACTGCATCAGCATCCTAATGAAGAAGCTTCGATTACAGTTTGGGCATTATCGCTGTATTAATGGGACAAATATGACATAAACTGAAAGAAAATTTTGTGCTCAGAACTGACACATTTTTCATTAAAATGGAATATCGYCCCTAAAATGGAATATCGCCCCTAAAAGCTAATTGAAAGTTACAATCTAATTCATCATAGAAGATGATTTAGGGGACTGGACTCAGGGCCCTATAAGTAGCCTTAGGTCCCCACAAGTAAGAGTGCATGAAAAAAAAAAAGTCTCATGATTTAGGGAATACCTGCCCACACACACACACACACACACACACACACACACACACACACA